TGATATATAATAATTTGTAATGTTTTTTTTTATATTACAGGAAGTACCGAAAAACATACTTGTATGGTCTTTCTTGAGTATGAGTACGTATATGTTTCTTGAGATCGCTTAAAGTAGTAAAGAATTTAACACATCCAGTCTCTTCGCAGTTGAATGTATTGCCGCTATGAAGTCTTTGGTGAGCTCCCAGTCTGTAACGGGTATTGAACGCCTTCTTGCAGTCTTTGTGAGTGCATTCGAACGGTTTTACTTTTGTGTGTACCCTAATGTGGATCTTTAGACTGTAGGACGTGAGAAAGGCCTTGCCACAACTCGGCTCTGCACATTTAAATCGATACTCGCCTGAAAGTTTTGAGAATTCCCTCCACATAAAAAGATTGCAGGTCTACCTATCTCTTGCAGTATCTGAAAGCCATGCAGGTCAAAGCGTTCCCTTTATACCAGCATTGATGAATTAATAATATCAGTTGCAAAGCAGAATTATGTAAATATAGATTTCATTACTAACGTCATCACAAGGAAATATGGCTGTGAAACTTACCTGAATTCTTTCATCCATGGAATATGCAAAAACAAAAGCACATATAATTTGTTAGTATAGCAGATGGAACAAACTGCATATTGGACAAGCACAAAATGCAAAGCATGTTTTTTTTTTAATGATATAGGTCAGATGAGATAACATACACAACGGTATAATGAAAATTCAATGCCAAGATAAATATTTTAAATAAGATAAAAGATCTTAAAGATATTAAACTATAAAATATGCTAAAAATAATTATACATTTATGATCATTTTTATTATCAAGTTATATTTTTTTACTTATATGTTAGAAATTACTTATATGTTAGAGACATTGTCTTTCATTAAAAAATTCTCTATTCTAATTTTATCACATTTATTATTAAAAATCCTATAAACTATATTTTTATTCCTAATAAAAAATTATTCTTAAAAATTTACCTTTGTGTGTTTTCATATGGGTACGCAAATTTCCAATGGTACTGTATGTCCTGGTACAGCCTTCGTATTGGCAATTATAACGATTGATATGTTTCTGATTAATGTCTGGATCCATACTTTCAATCGTGACACTTTCATGAGAGGTTGCATGATCTTCAAGTAATACATCATCTTGATCTTGATGAATTCGCATATAAATTTCATCTGGATTGATGATATGATGAATATGCCTGTAAATGTTAATACATATTTTCAATATATATATTAATATATGTATATATAATTCTAAAAAAATTCTCACATTTCTATGAGAAAAAAATAAATAATTTTTGTCTCTTGCTATTTTTCTGTAAAGTTGATAGTACTTGAGTAAAAAATTATTAATTATAATAAAAACCAATATTCGGCGATTTTTAGTAATTAATACTTTGTTAATTATTGTGAAAATTGCAAAATGGTAGAGGACTTTTCGACTCAGTTTAGTCAGCTATACCAGCATACGAAATATTTGACGGTCATTTTGGGACACCCTGTGTGTATATATGTATATATATATATGTACATTTTAACAAATTTTTTTAATCTTATTTTTTTAGATGCTTAACATTATTTAAATAATATTTTTCGTGCTAAATATACAAATTCAAATGAGAATAATTATTATTATTTTCCGACTTTACAATCTCATTGATATACAAAATGACAAATATCCGCATGTGCCAATTTTACTATACATTTTGCTAGTAGGTTAAATATATATAATAGAATAGTATGAGTAATACGTTTGCTATACGTAGATATTAAAATTAAATTTGTAACAAATATAGCATGTGATTTCAATGCAACAAGAAAATGCAATTGTGTTAAATATTGTAAATAGTATTATAATATATATACAAATAATATTTCTACAAATAATTTTTATAATAAAAGTATAATAAATAATCATAAAATAAAAAATAATAAAAAATACATAATTACTCATAGTTTATTGCCTGTTCTAAGAATATGAATTGTCAACAAATAAAATAAAACATTTTATACTATCGTTATCAAATTCGTAACAATATATATGTAATATACTTTATTTCGAAATTATTATACAGTAGGCAAAATTTAAAATATCCGGAAACACACATTGACGATAAAATACATCGGCAATATAACCATCTCGGTATATCCATGTGCTGTCCTAACGCCGATTCTCCCCTCGAGCGATTTATGAATTAAAGTTATCGTTTCAAAACTCGTATAGCCTTATAAGGAGGGGACAAGGAATACCGACGAGGGTGGAAATGAAATATCGATGGTACGAATAAACTCGTAGATCCGATTGCAAAATCGATTCCAGCGATGTGAGGAACGAATGTGAGAATCGTGAGGTAAGAGAGCGCAAAAGATGGTAATAGCCTAGAAATTTGTCCAAAATCAGTCGGGACTCACTCGGCCGTGTTGTCATCGACAGGTAGCCCCTCATTGATAGCAGCATCGTCATCGGAGTACCTTTCATAATCAAATACTGCACTCTGCTCGTAGACTTTTTCGAAACTGGACAGGTCCAAGGTGTCGTCCAGACAATCCTGCAGATCGTGCGTCACTAAGATATTATCGAAATTACTCTCGATACCGTCCGCATTCTCATCCTCTTGAAACTTGTCGCTCTCCCACATCGCCATACTTTTTCAGGGCTGCGCGACAAACAAATCGCGCGACCAGCTCTCCGTCTGCGTTCTGACATAACCTACAATTCTACTGCAATACGATCGGCAAGGTAGGCAGCTGATGAAATCTTATTATCGATACGGAGAAAAATGTAGTCGAAGAAGAACTGATAACGACCACCATGTGATTCATGTCATGATGAAAAAAAACAAGAGATTCTGTTCTTTTTAGCTAAACTTCTTGCACGGTTCATCTTTTCTCTTTTTTTTTCCAACGTGGAGAGAAAAGAAAGAAAGATGAATATCAAATAAAAAGAACAGGCCTAAGCTGAATCATTCCCGTGGATGCGCAGGGTCCACTCAACACTGCAAATACTTCGTTGACCGTTGAATCAGAAGAAAGAATTTTATGAATTGACCAATCAAAGAATGCTTCAAAGCATTTGCAGCATGTAGTAGATCGCACCCGCAGTAGCTTAAAAGTAGTGGGGAATGGACAGCCAATCATGAGGCACCCTATTTTATAAAAATCCAATAATGGCTGTGTTCACTGCTCTTTGCAATTTTTGGACACATTCGTGTAAAAAAAATATGTGCAATCTCATTTCTGTTTAATAATAATGTTAAGGGGATGCTAAACCGATTACCTAACTAGAAAGGTCGATAGTACAGACTTTTTAAATTCCAAATTCGATAATAGTGGTGACATCTTTGATTTAATTTTTACATTATATTATATAATATATATCATTCTGTCTTACTCAAACGCATACATCTGTTCTTATCTAACAATGCCAGCACCATCTATCGCAAGACCGCGCAACTACTGCTACACGGAATTTCGGCTCTGTTGACAGTCCCAGTCCTCGCAAAGCACCTGCATCCATGTACTTATTCTATTCGGTGGAAATATTTCTTTTCTAGACTTTCAATCTTAGTTCTACAAACTCGGTATCGTTCGTTTCAATAATGTGACCTCAGCTGCACGCTTATTTTCAAGATATGGACTCTAAAACTCTTATATCAAACAAATATATATCTGAAGTGACAGCTGTACGAGCCAAAAGTAAGTGAATTTTTAACGAATTTTAAACTTTTTTTCGATTTTCTCATGAAATCCAGTGCAGCTGAAGTCCTGTTTGTGCGTACTTTAATTTATGTAATAATACTTTTGCAATCCATACATCCAATACGAAGATTTTTCACCGAATGGAAATGTAGGTAAAACAGGAGGTTTTAGCATCGCCTTAAAGTACGTAAGATTTTTAACAATTTTTATTAATAAATTATTGTTATTTTTTCCAATACTGTGTTTTTATTAGTAATCATCTGTGAACGCTTGAAATTTGCGCGTTTAAAATGGGCTCCCCCGTGATTGGTTGACAAGTTATGTTCCCTCTCCTACCCCCCTCCATTGCCATATGCGCAATGGCTCACTTGGGGGTCGATTCTATATTTAAACAAGGTGAAAATTATAGCGTTTTCGGCCCGACCGGGTTTGCACCAACCTGGGTTGGATTAATGGCGTTTTGCGCTCTCCTATTGGTAGAGCGTGTGACATCAACCAATAAGAAAGATTAATCCAACCCAGGTTGGTGCAAACCCGATCGGGCCGAAAACGCTATTAGAAAAGTAAGCAAATTTACTAGGTGTTGACCAACAATCGCGTTCAACAGACTCAACTGTGTGGAGCAAATTCGTGAGCACTCGCTACTATTGGTGTATTCTTCTAGATCATCCAATAACGCGACCAATGAAATTATCAGTATTCTAGTAAATTCACTTACTTTTGTAATTTTCACCTCGTTTCAAGATACAGAATCGCTCCCCTTGTTTCTTTCCACTATGGTTCATATCAATGGATCTGTTCGACTTGCTTATATTTTTTACGGGGTGATCCCGATTGACCACGTCTCGATTGGACACCACCAATCACAGCGACCGGTGCTTAGGAGCTTTGTAGTCTCAAGCGCTGTGAGTGGCCCGTGTCCAACTGGGTGCCACCCCTTTTTAGCCCGGATCCTCATACGGGCAACAGCGCTTTGACATCGAACGCTGATTGGTGAAAAACGGATGATGGGGGTAAATTTTACTTCCACAACCAGCTTTTCACCAATTAGCGCTCTGTGTCAAAGCGTTGCCTGTATGAGGATCCGGGCTTACACTTAGCATCTTCGCTTTCCCTCTTTTCATCGCCAAGTATACATATATCTATCTCATTTTAAGTGTAAAAAGTGTAAGCAAGTCGAACAGATCAAATGATCTGTTCTTTGCAGCTTCACTTTCTACACTCAAAAATGATAGAATTACACCTACAAGCGTGAGAGGGAAAAAGAAAAACTGAAAAGATAAGAATTACAAGAGATCAATTTCAGCTCGAAAAGAACAGACCTAGCATTTCTCCCTTTCTCAAGTGAAGTAAAAGAATAAAATAAGTGCCATTTAATCACTTGAAGACGATGTTCTCTCTTTAGCAGTCTATATGCTTTTCATGTGAAAGAATACGTTCCACCTCTATTTTCTACAAGTTTTACGGACGTTAATCTTGTCTTTGTTACTTTTTATTGTGTACTCTACTCGAAAATGGAAGACGTATGTATTTCCGATAAGTGAAGAAGGTTCATACAAAGACATCGAGGAACTTGACATTCCTTGATAAGAATTTCACAAAGTTTCTGGAGCAATGGATGAGAAGCAAACAGAAAATCCGTAAGTTTCAAAGAAAGGCTTCACTAAAAGATTCCGTATAAATATATTTTTACGATTCTGTTTTTCGCTTTTGGTTTTCTTAGGTTATAAAATTTATTTGGTTTATAAAAATTATCGCTGTTCTAATTTACTTGCAAATATTGAAATATATTAAATCTTGAAAAGAATACAAATTTTGTTAAGAAGAATTAAAAGCAGCTTGATTTTTCAGAATCTCCAAAGATCATTTAGACAATACTAATGTACCTGTGATAACAGCTGATTTAGAGATGCTTAGCATAGATATTAATTCGCCACCTACAGAAACCAAGAGGATTCTTAGGAAAAGGTTGTCTAAGCCTCCTTCTGTAGACAACGATTCTACAGAAATGGTTAAACGAAGGTAACTGATAATTTTATAATATTTGAAGTTTCCATGGATATTTTCTTTAAAGAAATTGTGGTTTATTTTTGTGATACATCATTAAATGTCAATGTTTTTTAAACATTGCAGTTTACTTCATCACAGTGACTGATACTTCGCCATGTATTTGAGGATCGATTACGTATCTTGAAACAATGTAAAAGTGAACAAACACTACAATATTTATGATTTCATTAATTAGTCACTTAATAAATTTATTCATCTTTGTAATTTTCATCTTGTTTCAAAATAGATAATCGACTTCTAGATTCTCACCTTGATGAAATAAACTGCAATGTTCATGAAACAAAACATTTAATAATATATCAAGGTATAGAGAGACATAACTTGTAAATTGCTTAGCACTTTTTTGAAGATAATTTTATATTAGACTGTGATACATTTTCATATGTGTCTAATAATACTTTGTATATAAATAAGGTGTAGCTTGAGACCAAAAAAAAGAAGGATCTATGAGATGGAGGAGACAGAAGAAGAAATTGTCAAGGAATATTATTTAGATAAAAAAATAAATAAGAAACCAAATAATCTTGAAACAATATTTGAAGAAACCCAGAATTCGGACGACGATACTACAATACGTATGAGTGCAAAGAGATTTAAGAGAATGTTGATGTTTGCTCCTACAGCTTCCAAGCTGAAGAAGAGACGTGCGAAGATACAAAGAGTTTTTGGATCTAAGGTCAGGTATAAGAGATGTGGTTCGATGCAAGCTCTTATAGATAAATTAAATACTATCAGAGAGAATTCACCAATAAAAATTGACAGCGAACTCAAATGATATCAGATTTCTCAATGACATATTTAAATACCTTTTTTTTTTTGAGAAGATATCTGAAGAATAACATGTTATGTATACTTCAGTTATGTATATTTCATGAAAAAAATGTATCAAAATTATTTTATAATCACATTTAAGAGATAATATTTAGATGGAGAAATTTACATTTCCATCTATTAAGAATGTTATACTATATAGAATTTTTTGTGCAGGCATTTATTCGATTCTCGCATTGTAGATTTACATGTTCCGAACTATAAGGATGTAAGGACCATAATGTGTGATAATTATATTTCTATTTGCGTATTTGAGATTTATCTCGCTTATATTAACAGCAATATATATCATACAAGAAGCAATAATGTATCTTTTATTTCTTTAAGGCTAGTACTTCCTCATTTCGTCTACATTGAATCATGATAAAAAAAAGTATTTCATTTTGACACGTCCTAAATTAGTATGTCTTTATTTCTGAAATCGTAATCCAAGCTATTAATGAGGAGATCAAAGCCTTTGGCAAAGCTTAAATACCATATATTGCATTTTAGTTTACATTCAATTCAAAACTTTATATACATACATTTATTATTAAGTAACAATGAAAACACATTTTTTCATAAATATATTAAATTCTTTGTACTTTGTAATATAAACAACTTGTAAAGTGCGTAATATAAATAATTTTTTTAATCGCCAATGTTTCTTCAATATTAAAAATGGAAACAAAGACTGATCATTTAAAAATTTAAGTACAAAACCTCTCATTATTTTAGGGATGAAATTCAATTTTTTTTTTATGTCATGTTTCATTATGTATATCACATAATTATCATATGTATAATAAGACTTATAAATTGCATTTATTTTAAGATCAATATATTGGCGATTGTGTATTTCTTATCTAGAGTATTACTACATGTTGTATAAAATCTTGTATTTATTTGTACTCTTATAAAAGGCGCTAATTAACGAATATAGAATTATACAAAAAATAAGAAAAATTACATAAAGTTAATATATTAAATCTATGTATTTTCGCATTAATATTATATAAATATAAAATTTGAATATAATTATCTTAAATTCGGTAGATAAAAACACTATATAATACTTCCTCACATCATGTCTTATTCATCCTCAAAATGCATTTCGTCGCGTACTTATCACAGCCATCGTATTCTTTAAATCTAGCTTTATTTTCTTCGTATTCCTTACTATCTAATTTAACACAAGTGCATCTGGATGAACCTTGTGCGGTCTCGAAAAACATTCTTGGTACTCCCACCCAATCTCTATCAATTCCACCGCTGTTAAATAAAAATGAATTATATAATTACATATTAAAAGGTTTATTTATCACGTTTCTTTAATTTTCCTTTAATATGAAAACAATGATTATTAAATAAATTCCTACCTTCTTTCAGTACACCAGAATACAGTACCAATATCTAGATTCCATTCTACATTACAAGGTGGGAACATTCTGTCCTGTGCCTCTTCCAATGCTTTCTCCTTTTTAAGAAGTAATAGCTTTTCTTGTATCTTATAAAATTCTGCAGTTGGACTACCATCTTGATTATAGTATCTACCATATAATTTTCCTAAAGAAAATATAAAATACTTTAGAAAGTATTACATACGAGTTGATCCACCTCATGCAATGTCTACAGAACATAAAACATTTTTTGCAGTACAAAGAGATTAAAATATACCTTTCCTTCCTTGCTGAGCAGATTGATAAAATATTATAAAATTATTTTAGCTTTTAGGATAAAGAAATTCTGAGATGGATCAACTGCTCCTATATCCCATGGCAGTTTAAATAATTGTACCTTTGTAAATATAGTTTGTTTTATAAAATTGTACCCAATCGTTCAATGCTTTCACTTGTTGCATCGATAAACTAGATATGTCATCCGTTAAACCTCGATCATCAAATTCTCCAGTGATAAATGCCAAGGAAGCATCACGACCTACAAATAAACAAAATTAATTTTATATATACAAATATGTATATAGTAGACGTTTGAATGTGACATAAGGAACCTAATTACCAGTGAAAGCATGATAACTTCCTCCAGATCCATAATGTTTTTCTCCTTTCGTTACATCGAAGACTTGGCCTAAGATCGAAAGATATAAACCATTCTCCAGATTTGTATATCGTTCTAATTCGCTTATAGTGAACATCTTTGACTCGCCAGAGTTTTCATTTGATCCAAAATATATCGTGTCAGCTAAATTTAATGTTCCTTCCATTAATTGAGACTTGATCTTGTCATAAAAGCCGCGCGAATATAAGAAATACACGATCGCCAATAGCAGCGATAGCCAAAAATATTTGGAAAACATAATTACGCTGTTTACAAACGCTCGTGAATTCCAGCATGGGCTATTCCGATTTCTGGTGATCTTCGATGATCTACCATGTTAGATTACAGAATTCTGTATTACCGGCCAGAGATCTGTCGTATTATTTGGAATCGTTGCTAGGCTAGATACACAATTATCTTGTAGCGAATCAATATGCTTGACAAATTTATTGTACAATTGAAATATTAACCTAAATTATTATTTTCATCTGCCCGATGAAGTATAAAATACAATGTAAGTATATATATATAATATTCACATTTTATTTGTAAAATAATAACATTGCAAAAGTTTTTATAGATTTAAAATATTTTCTTAAATTTATACAATTTTTTGAATTTTTTATAATCTAATATTCATTAAAATTAATACTTATTCTTTAATTAGCAAAAATACAAACAAAAGAATGCAAAATTTTGTGTAAAATTAATTATAAGAAGATAATATCATAAAAGTAAATACAAAAAAAAATTAGTAAACATTTAAATTATATATTTACTCCATAAAGAATTATATCAGATAAACGCAATTGATATATTAATCAATAAAGTTCAACAACAAAGATAAGATCAAGATTTTAAAAATGATATATCTATATAAAATAAAAGAGTTATTTTATAATATATATATATTTTTAATTTTTATAATCTATTTTATTAAATTTGATAACAGAATGTGTGCTGGTACATTTTTATTTAATGATTCATCATGTTCAATATTTTTATCATTATAGACTTATTGCGTTATAATGGAAGAATATAACCAATAATATATTACCAAAACGAAAAGCATTGCATTAGTGCGGAAGATAGATAGAATAAATACTACCAACTTTTTGCGTAATTATAATATAAATTGTATAATTTTAACTATATAAATTGTATAATTTTGGAAACGTATGTTCTAAGAATTTGAATACATAAAAATCTGACTTGTAACCCCTTAATAGTTCAAATTTTATAAACATCTAAACAATGGAAATATCATCTGTACCGCTTCCATAAAATCAACACATAATACGTATTAATAGCGCAAGTTGAAATTAATTGTAACACGTATTACATATTGTTCAATTGATATATAGTTTTATAATCACATAATATAATCATAGACACTCTCGATGTCGCGCGATAAAATAAACGCATAAATCGCAATATTATGACAGATTCAATTGAGTGAACAAAGATATTACGAACAAAAAATAATTAATTCTCAGATGTGTGGGCTCCCGGCTCAAGAAGGTTGAATGAATAATTAAAGATATCAATTCCCATAATTTTTTCTTTTATTTCTGCATTTCCATACATAATAAAACTTGGTGATCGATGAAAACAATTAACAGTATGTTTAGAAAACCAAAAATAGAATCTAGAAAGAAGAAGAGAAAGCAATTAAATCTGAAAAATTATCCAAAATTCGAGCAAAAAGGGAAAGAAGATAATTTATTTGCCAACTTAACATATTTACTCCCAGAGTGATTAAATAGTACATCTATATAGTCTGTGTCAGAAATAAGAGTTTTTATATTAAATTATTTAATCGGATTCGAATGATCTAAAACCCATTTTTTTACACTTTAGTCCAGCTTTCTGGTCAAACGAGCTTTCAGGTTGTCACGAAACACACATTCGATCAGCTCGATTGCTTTATCTGACTGATAAGCGGCGTACACATACTTGAGTTTACTTGTTTCTGCTAGCTGATACTAGCAGATAACCACCGGTAGGCCAGGGTGACGGTGAATGACGTTTGAGAGATGTTGGAGGACGGTGGTCACGCTTGGTTAACCAAGACAATCGGGATCAACGGTCAGTCGTGCGCCAGCGTGTATCCTTGTTGCACCGGGAGTCGTGCACCCGCGACTTTCCTTGTGCTTTCTATCATTCGCGCGCCTCGCGTCATTTCGCTCCTCGTCGATACAGTATAAAGTGGTTTGTCCTCTATCGCGTCCCAGTTTGATTGAAGATTGTGACTATTGTGGCATGGATCGGTTTTCGTAATTAATAAGTGTTTTATTTCACTCTGCACACTGTTTCGCGCGGCTGTTATTTCATTATTTGTCGTTAAATGAATTTAACGGTGGTGTTTACATGCGATTCATTGTGAAAAGTTAATGAGACGAGACGCTGAGGGAGTTAATTTCTATGCTGCCCACGTTGGGACAAACCTTTGTAAACGTCGCACAGATATGCGATTTTTTAAAGAAACTGCTTAATTTTTATAAATTGTAACTTCGCGTTTTATAAAAGATAGCAATAAATTATTATTAATGAAAGACAGAGATTTAAAGATATTAAAGAAAAAGTTAAGAAAAGAGAACCATTTCTTTCTCTGCTGGAAAACATGGGTATTAATAGTACCTAACTCGATAAAAAAAATAGTCAAATTAATTTCTTCTTTAATTTCTTTTTCTCAGTAAAAATAGAAATAATGCAGTTTCATATTTCCTCCCTATTTTCTGAATGCACTGCCTGTTTATGACACTTAAAAATTTACTCTGGCGAAAATAAGAAAGAGAGAATTGGAGTGTAAATTATATAAATATAAGGGGAGAGAGTAACTGAAGCGTAAACGAAGTTTCTAGGAGGCGAAAATTGAAACAACGGAATGTAACTCAAGCGGAACAAGTTAAAATGACATCAAAATGAATCGGAAATGATTGAAAAATGACTTTTAATGATTATTTTGACATCATTTCGATATCATAATGACTTGTTGTTCTGCTTGAGAAACGTAGGCGTTTACATTTCTGTTACTCTCCTCTTATAAGGTAATGTACCAGTTAATGGATATATGATCCAATTATTATTCAAAATAACAAAAATTTTAAATATTTTTTACTAATATATACGGCTCTAAATAAATTCGTCTTATTAAATTTTGATAAACAATAAATTTATTTAGAGGCGTACTTACATATCATTAAAAGCTTAGTATTAAAAATTTTTGTCATTTTGTCCACTAAGTGATCTATGTTCTTTAATTGTTTGCTATAACTAGTACATTTACCTCATTCGACTTACGCTCCAATTTCTATTTTTACCAGTAATGGAATTCTATAACTCATTATGCAATCGTTATATGCTTGTAACGTAGTTGCATTTTATATTGTAAAAGTAAAACAGCTGCACAACTGTCATTATAAATACATAACGAGTTACATATAGTAGAATACAGGGACTAGGTAGTTAAGTTATCATTATATACGCAACAGATCACCAAGTGTTTTCGTCCTATTCAGTTTCGCACCATATCTTCGTAAAAATACCGCAAAGAAGGACATCATCGGACGCGCAAATAAGATCTAAGAATTCAATTTGTCTCGGTCAGTAGTTGCTTAACGCACACTCAGGATAGAATGAACGGCGGCGAGCATTATGATCAAGTTAACGCGGTTCGCGTTCGTCCTGCTCACCAGTACGACAGCTGCGATTTTCTGCACGCTATTACTATCTTCGGATTTTCTCACCACCTACAGAAGGTCTTCCGCATCACGGAAAGAACAGGTGTTCACAAGAGAAGAAAAACAAGAAAATAGAGGGTCTACTACAAAATCCGTCTCTACTATAAAATTACCTAACGCGCAATTCGAGACGACGGCTGTCTTGAATGCGAATCTCCTTGAAAGAGGCTTCACCGATAAACAGGTAAAATGTTGACCACCTTATATTACTATGCAATCTTTTACCCTTTACGAATCTAATTAATTCCGTTCTTATGTCAACATGGTATTGTGAGAATAAAATAACAATGCTAATAATAATGATAATTTCTATTATTTGAAGCATTTTATGGAAATTGATATAGATTTGCTAATTGTAACTACTTAACCAAAACATAAATCGTGATGACATTAAAATGACATCAAATTGTGTGTGTGATCTAAAATTTATATTTCAATCATAATGCATTTTAACGTCATCTTCACATTATTGTGATTTGTTGTTCTATATATATACTTGGGTGTTAAATTTTTAAAAGATTATGCTAAAACTACATCAAGAAGCATTACGTAGTAATCTACCTCGGTATAGAATCGTACAAGAAGGACTAACAATGCTTCGTTTGTTTGCCATTAGTGCGAAATGTCGACAAAACATTTTTATTATTAGGTGTTAAACTTAATTCCTGCCGTTTTTCGTCTCCAAAATTGATTTGTTTCGAAGGGAAATACCTTACTCAAAGTATTATTAATAAAGTATTATTAATTAGTAATAAAGTAGAAAATACTTCGAAACAAATCAATTTTGGAGACGAAAAACGGCAGGAATTTAGTTTAACACCTAATATATTAGCAATTATTATCTAAATAAATAATATTCGTAAAGGACTCTTAATAATAATAAAAATTAAATATGAAAACAAGGCATGTAAGAGTCAATACCAATGGTATTGACTCTTACATGCCTTGTTTTCATATTTAATTTTTATAATTATTATCTATTCACACTTAATATCTATTCATTATATTAGGAAAAATTTGGATGTATTATGGCGTGTTTTCTTCAGATAGAAAGTATATCTCCTCTCGGAAAATGGTTATTGGCGCCGGAAGGGAGTTCACCCCCTCAGTCGAACGCCACCAATAAAACTTATTTGATCCTGATTTGGAAGCATGGGCAATTTCTGGAACGCAGACACATCAGACATTTCACATCCATCAAGTTAGAAAATTTTTAATTTTCTATCTTTTTTAACAAAAATAATTCTAAACAAGGATACTCAAAGTAATACAAGCCGTGGGTGGTATTTGTCATTTGTTCTTTCGAACAATAATTTTTGAGATACTTATAAAGACTTAAAAGTAATCGATTAAAAATTGTATAATCAATTTTTATCTTACCAGTAGGTTTGTTATTCATACAGCAACACATTTAACTTGACATTCATTTTACGAAAATATTGAATTAGAACGAAAGTTCGTATAGCACCTCAAAATTTAAACAGTTATAATAACCGAGTTAAAAATGACCGAAATTTAAATTTTAAGAAAAGATTTTAAAGGGTTTCCTTAATTTTCTAAAGTTTACTATGTTTTTTGAGTTTCTGTTCGGTAATTTTTACATACAGAAAACAATGAACTAGACTAGAAAAGGAAAAATTTTCTCTTTATTTTGTGGGTCTGTCACGTCCCAAAAAAACTAGCGAACATTTTCAACTTTCTAATGTGAAAGCTTAAAGTATACTTTACAATACAAAACCATTTTTAAACATGCTCCTAAGATTTTTTGTTACTGAGTAATCGCGATGAGTCTTATCGCGAATTAAAAAAAAAGAAATATGTTGACTTTGATTACTCATAACTCCGTTAAAAATCATTGTACCGTAATTCAAAACAGATTCTTAAAGCTGAAATTTTGTGTTCCAAACTAATAAAAATTCGTTCTAGATTGATAAGAAATTATATCAACCTTCGGCTAAAAAGATAATAATCGGTAAAATTGCGGTCACGCGACTTATGTCTGTTTCTATCAATGTAGATTAACATTAATTTTAGTTCACAACTTGCTCTTCAAGTTTTCCTCATTCTTAAAACCAGAAAAAATAAAGAATTAGTTGAATCAAGATTTACATTAAACTACATTGGTGGAAACGGGCAAAACGTGACTTCAATCAAACTCCAATTCATTTAATCAGCACTATTAAATAATAGATATGAATAAAACTATTAAATTAATAGAATTATGTTTAATATATCAAAAAAAAAAAGAACAACGAACTGTATACTAGAAATTTCGTCTTGAGCGATTCTGCTAATCGGGATAAATTAATCGGAGTTTGGTTGAAGTCGTCTTTACTTTCACAGTAAACATCGACAAAGATTTACAATATCGTATATTTTAGGTTTTCACCGTGGGATCAATGTTCAGTGCAGAATTGCCTGCTAAGTTACAATGAAAAGGATCTGCATCGAGCAGACGCCGTACTATTTCATTTACACCTCACGAGGAATCTATCTGAATTACCGGCGAGAAGCCAGGCGAATCAACGGTGGATCTTCCTGACAGATGAGTCACCCTTGCACACGTTTGTGCACGGTCCTCAAAGACTGTCGAACTACGATGGTCTGTTCAACTGGTCCATGTCATACCGAATGGACAGCGATGTGCCGGTTCCCTATGGAAGAACAATACGAACCTTCAAAAACTTTCCGGCCAAACATTGGGACACTACTGTGAGAACTTCCAAGACCAAACTGGTCGCTATAATGGGCAGCAATTGCGGTGGTCGTAACGGACGGTGGTCCTATGTGAAGGCACTCAAATCGTTGCTTCACGGTGACCTGGACATCATCGGAAAATGCCTAGGTGGCAACAAAACCGTTTGTCCTGGTCATTTCGACAAGGACTGCGTCGCTTTGGAGTCATATAAGTTTTATCTGTCGTTCGAGAACTCCAACTGCCGAGAATATTTGACGGAGAAGATCTTTTGGAACGCGTACCGCAAATTCGCGGTTCCGATAATAATGGGAGCGTCACGGCAGGACTGTCTGCTATTGTTGCCACCGCACTCCTACCTCCACGTGGACGATTTCGCGGACGCGAACGCGCTCGCTGACTACATCAGGTATCTGGACCGCGACGATGAGCGTTACTTCGGATATCATGAGTGGCGCAATCATTATCGGGTGATCAACGAGCACGGCTACTTCGGCAGTGTCTCCAGGCACTATTGTCGCATATGTGAGGCATTGCATTACAACTCCGTCGTGCCGAAGGTCTACACGAATCTTGAACACTTTTGGAGCAAGGAGAGAGACTGCGTTCCAGCGAGCGCTTAGGATACGAGAGTACAAAGAAAACAGATTTTTTTGTTTTCCGATAACTAACGTCAAGTTTCCTGCTTTAACGTGTGTTTATTGTGTCTTTCTCGTCCACGCTTATCGGCGCTGGTTGTCGGAAGGTAGAAAATCCACTTCCTTTGTACTTATTGCTGCTTATATCCTTAGATTATTCTCTACGATCATCTAGTCTTTCAAGTGTGTAGCCGTGAAGCGTAGATGAATTAATATATATATATATACGAATCAGTGACTTGGAAACTTTAGCAATGGACGGCATCAGTGGTTCAATGTCGAACTATCGAAACTTTCAAATGCATTTTAAATTTATAGAAATTGTGGAGAAAAAGAAAAAATTATTGTTGTAAATCGATATGATTATTATTAATTTGATATTGTTAATTATGATAAAAAAAGTTCCTGCATTTCTTTAAATAAGAATTGAAGAATTATTTATAAAAACCTTAGAAAATAGCTACATATATTATTTCAATATAATTTATTTAATATAAGCAACAATGTTTAATAAACGCTTTTGTGTATATTATAGATATAAAATAAAACTAATAATTGTACATTAAAAAATACATGATAAATATTACAATTTTAGTTAATGATTGATACATTAGTGTTATATAAAATTAATGGAATTAAAATATCTGCGTAGTAAAAATAGGCCTGTTCTTTTTAACTAAACATCATACATGGTTCATGTTTTCTCTTTTTTTCAGTATAGAGAGAAAAAAAGAGCATAGATAAACCATGCAAGAAGTTCCAATGGAAAGAACAGATCTAATTATACTAGTATATAACAGATTCATATTTGCCGCTTGAAATGGAAGACCTGTGCGTACGAGAAGATTTGATCGCTATGACGCATTTTGTTAAAGTCCGTGGAAAATCTTTCGGATCGATACGAAATGTATCCAGAAGAATCCCCTCTCATTTACGCGTTCATTCAAATTCGAAATGTTCGTTAATGATTCCTTGATTCTTGAGAGAGTCTTTCCGCAAGTTTTTCGAGATTTCGGGAATCGCATTAGTGAGGAGGTAGACGAGTTGATGCCGAACCGTGACTAGAAAAAATAAAGATTAGGAAAAAGAGAGAACAAGACTTGTGAAAGCGCGCAATGCAACGCTAGCAAACGCTAGACGATGACGCGTTGACGTCGTCACCAGTAGAGAGAGGGACAGTGCACGCGGAGCGGAAGTAGAGAAGCGATAGACGGCGACTCCGTACGTTGCAAATGGCAGACGGTGTGTGATATACCTGGGTAAAAAACCGTCACTTTGCGTCGCGTTCTTTCGTGACCATCTTCTTACTCAGCGAGGAAGCGGACTGAAGCGGACAGAGCCGTTCCGTAGCCGCTCGTCACGTCGCGTGTACATAGGTCACGTCAATCAGATCTCTAATTCGCAGGGAGGTAGCGGGCCGGCAAGCGAGCGGGCGAACGCCTTGGGAGATCCGACGAGAGAAATTGCGAGAAATCGTGGTACACCTCAGGATCAAACGACCTCGAACGGAAAGGTGGACAATGGCGAGGCTGGTCAATGTTTGGCGAGACGACGAGCCGGTGAAGCTGGCCAGCAAGCAAATGCCGCTGATCGTCGACGAGAACCTGACGGTGAGCGCGCGCGCACGCACGCCCGCGCCCGCGACGCCAATTTCCTTGACCGTCAACCGGCGCGACTCCTGGAGCACGACGGCGATATCGCTTTACGAAGCGTTCACGCTCCGTACGGGAGGCTTTTAACTGAAAACACATTACAGCCAGGTGTCAGAGAGGTGGGGAAAAAAAAAAAAAGAAACAAGAATGCTAGGTCGCGATTCTAAAGAATCTGCAGTTCTTTTGTCACGATCAATCTGCGATCGTACGTTGTCAGAACATCGAGCTGACCAAACACGTTCGCCGACTGCGATAGAACGAGTATAACTCGACGATTATCGTCTTTCTCACACCTGTGTTGCATACGTGTTCCTTTAGGTGATCTCTCTGTACTTAATTCGATCATCAATCCTTTGCATAAGATAGATAACGTTATTGTAGATTATTTTCTTTATATCGCGTTGGAGAGAACATTCTTAGCCAAGCCAAAACGTGTCGAGCAAGAACTTTACTTTGTCGTTTCTAATTGTCATCGAGTCGAATGTGATTTGTTAGTTGATGTGTAATTTCCTCTGAGATTAATTTGTTACTGTGGTTTTTTTAGATGATTATGGATATAACTGGTTTGGGAGCTATCTGTGATAATCCCTTGATCAACGGTAAACAGCTGGATGAATTTACAAAGAAATTTGCATTACTCACAATGGAAGAAATCAAAACATCCTTTGCAGTTACTTGCAAGAAGATAGTTGAAATCTTGAGCGCCGCAGAACCATGCGTCGGCTGCCGAAGAAGGTAATTGTCTCTTTTATAAAAATAATTGAAAATAACTTTTTATTAGAATAATACATATGGTCTGTTTTCTGTTCCTGCACTACACTGCACTAGAAGTCTCTTTCTCACTTTCGACAAATATCAAACATATACCTATTTCACTTTAAGTTCCAAAAGTGTACACTGGTTTAGCCACAGAAAACAGACTTATATTGTTGTTATTATACTCATGATGTAAAAAGACAAGGTGTACCATTCCCGAGAATGCATAACAGCAGAGTGAATTTGAGGCCAAAATTTGATTGGCAGTATTGCTATTGCCATTATTTGCAATGATACACCTTGTATTTTTACATCATGATTATACTATTAATACTCGTTCCCACTAGGACAGATTAAGTCTAGTCTTAACTTACTCTATCTTTTTCTAGTTCTAAGAATTAGAAAAAGGTGAAGAGTAAATTGAACCGAGATTACACCCTTAGTGCATACAATAATTTTCCAATTCTTCTTTATTACACACAGTGGATAATTCATGTCCTGGGTTATAATTTTCATTACTTTAACAAATGTACAAAAATTAATCCTTAACTGTTGTCGTAGGTCCATTGGAATTTTTCAATATCTATCAAAGTCTATTAACATACTTTAAATGAGGATCAATGTAATATTAATTTTTATTGATAGTTTTGATTATAAAGATATATAGATAAATGAAAGTTTAAAGATCAAAAAGATATAATAAAAATGTTTCCAAGGTTAATGATTTCTTCATGACATCAGTGATTCTGAAATATACTTTATCATCTTTACAAAATATTTATAAGGTTGTGTATTTAAAAAAATTGTATATAAATATTATAACTAATTACTTGATGCGCTTAGTTTTCCAAAGAAAAGAAATGTGTGAGACCCAATTGTATGTAAGGGTTAAAGTTTATCTATATTGGTGCAAAAAACGGGCATAAAGAACAGTGAAATATTCTGTGTTCAGTGTTGAAAGATTATTCACCGATCTGATGAAGTCAGGACATCCTGCATTAGATCCTCTGGTTATCACTCCCGATGGTGTGCTTTCTATAAAAGACGACGTTTTAAAATCACCTCAGAAGCTCTGTACATTGTTACATGGACACAGGTATGCAAATGATTACAAGAATCTCAGTTTAGACACATTTGTGGAAGAGTTATTTACATTTACTATTTACGTCTCTGCAGCACTAGGTTAAATAATTTAATGGAAAAGCAACAAAGAAATAGAAAGTCTCAACGATGTGTACTGCATACTCTGGAAATCCAGCGGTTACCACCGATATGGAATTCTTGGAGGGAAGTGTGGGATTGCATGGAGCTACCATGTCGGCAGGAATTGACTTTAATAGAGACCGATACGCTTGATGAAGCTTTAGATACTTATTTGCGTAAACATAGGTATGTAATTTCACATAGATTATCTGTAATTGTTTTATAACGATTTTGGTGATCAGATTTTGCGCCGAGTGTCGCAATAAGGTGCTATTGGCGTCGTCTCTCCTGACCCGGGAACCCGAACCTATAAAAGAAAAAGGTTACGTAGCAGTTTTATATTCTGGAATTAAACGTTGCTACCGCGACCATCATGTTCATTTACCACCCATCACGGAATATATGACCACTCTCCTTGGTCGTGCACAACCATGGGCACTTATGGGAAGGTACAGATTTTCAAAAATATATTCTCTGGTAATGTTTAGTGGAAGGAGAAGTAATGAGAGATGTTTCCGAATTTCAGAGAGCGCCACGCGAAAACGTTGGAAATTGCTCAAGAAGAAGTACTTACGTGCTTAGGTATATGTATCGCAGACCGACTACACAAAATACATCGACGAATGAAAGAGGAAGAAACTGTGTGTAAAGTATTAGCTGCTGTTGCAGTGGATGCGTTGTCCAGAAACTTTCAGGTAACAAGCTCTTGTATAATAATATCCTCTACACAATATTAGAAAATTCTATATTTATAACAGATTATTCTATAATATTTTGATTTGTTCAGTCGGCGATTGAAAAGAAACAAGGTATCTCTCAATTGGAATTATTCTACAAACAAGTTGCAAAGGAAGAACTAGCGAAACAGCACAAACGTGAAAAATTACGTCTTAAACGTAAGAAGAAGAAGGGACGTCGCAACGAAACAGAGGAAAAGGAGAACTCCCGTGATGTATGTTCGAACTTGTGTGCAAGACTTGATTTAAAAAAAAATTATTTTTAACTTCTCACGAGTCATACTTATTTAAGTATGACACTAAACTTAACATGTTCACCGGCACGTGACTAAGTTGTATATTTTATCGTAGTGCTCAAATGAGAGATCACAAAGTGATTCCCCCTGTACCTGTGTAGAATCAAAGCCGACGACGCAGAACATCAATCGGCATAAAGTAAATAACGAGACTTACTGAATTTTACATACATATGTGCGCTTCTGTATACTATCGTTTCCTTTTGCACTAGTTGCAGGTCCTAGATCCAAAAAATAAAGGTCCGCCGATGTGTAAATGTCCAGATTGTTTAAAGAAGCCAAAAACACATAGTATATCACAATCACAAAGTAAGACAGAACTAGCATTCCCTGTGAAAAAGGGTTCACAGAAAGTTAAAAAGAACACCTCCGAAACAAAGAAAAATCTTAATACAAGTCAATCAAAGCAAATTAGTACACCTTGTAAACAATTATCTCAGGAGGATTCATCTGATGTTTGCGAGTCGTGTAAGGTAACTACAATTTTCAATTTCGTACTGCTGTCATAAATGTATTAAGTTTTCTAAAATAAAACGTTTTTTTTATTTTTTCTCACGTTAAGGAGAGTGAGAAAATCGATGAGAATCAGTGGCGTTATGACGACAATTGTAAAAATTCCATGACTAACGAACTGGTAGATGCGTGGATAACGGAGCCGAGTGAAAATAAATATACTACGTGGATGGTAATGAAGAAACGTTTCGAAATGTCTGAGAGAAAAAACCACACCTCAAGCGAACAATCGTCTCAAGATTGCGGATACTCTTCCGAACATAATATCAGTAGTTCTTCTCTTCCTAGCACACCGGAAGGTTCTGAAGTAGCTTGTAATGATGAATGGTGTGATCATGAAGGGACTTGTCATGATAAATTTAATCATTCCAATTCTAGCATCTCTTTATTGCAAAAGAAAGGTCCAACACTTACACAAATGTTGAAGGTAAATTTAAGATACGATAATCTAAACATTTAAGGATTCGTTTTCTCTATAAAGAAGCTTAATTTCGGTATGGCAACTGTTTAGGATTCCTGCTTTTCTGACGACGACGAGAAGGAGAGTTATATTCCAGTGGAGGAAGTATTAGAATTTAAGTCGAGAGTATGTCAACTCACGGAGAAGCGGCGAGAACTCCGGCAAATACTTAGAGAACGTTTTGCTATGTTGTGCAGCCATCAGAAACCACTTAGCATTCTTCATTAAGAATTCCTACTACCTATGGTAATATATCTCCATCATTTTCTTCTTTTTTTTTTACTTTGATTTACTGTCAGTAGTGAGACACGAATGTAATAGATGTATTTTGAAGAAACTGTTATCATTCGAAGTCGACCTGATGTGAATAAAATGCTGAATATATGTAATTAAGAAGCCAAAAACATTATACAATACTATTTATCTCTACGTGCAAAAATTGCATCTGAAAAATAAAAAATACTGAAAGATTGAATAGTTTCATATCTGATGTTAAACAATAACGTCGACTTTGAGAAAAGTACAGAATACACATAAATTGAGATACCATAAAACTAGTATACGAATCAACTTGAATTGATGTATATTGATGTATATCTCGAAATTGATTGTATAGATCTTTGCAAATTAAAGCAAATAAGTAGATATTTTGAACGAACATGCCTTGGCCGTGAAAATATGGCAGATCTGATTCCGCAGTAAATGCAAGTTGTTAAAGACAAGTTTTTCAGTGATTTGAAAAGTATTGTATTTTCTTGGAAATCTTTATTTTCAAGACTGTTTACGCGGCGCTATGACTATGGTGAATTCGTGTCAATGTTGTAACAAAAAGAGATGCGATATAATTTTGTCGGAATCCTAATATTAAAATCAATGTTGCATTCCATTATAATATATATACATATATTTTATTATTCCGATGTATATCCTCTCTGTGTAACTTCTATTACACGCACTGTAAAAATATTCTATAAAAAGAATTATTGTCGTAAAATCGTACACATATATATTGTATGTTGCATAAAAGTTATTAAAAATATTTAAGCCGCTATCCACTGGTAATCAGTTGTGTAAAATTCAATTTGTCACCGAATTTGCTTCTCTTTTTATATATATATTTACATATCAGTACATATTTACAGGAGCAGCGCCTCCTTTTTTTATCAATTGAACGGAAATATCAAGAGTTCATAGATCATCTTTTTAGGATTTTATGTGTTTATCTTTGAATATTTCAAGGAATGACTAGTAATTAATTATATTGTAACTTCAAATTAGGTTTGACTCGATAATTGACATCTTTTTTTTTTCTTTTTACTCTTAGACGTTCGCATCTTTATGGAGACACATGCTGTATCTTTTCCAAGCTAATGAAGATTGTAAAATAATGTAACTTTTTTCATCTTTTAAAATAATAATTTTTGTTCTCCACTATCTTTAGAAATCTTCACCTTTCAAAGTTCATTATTGAAATCCTTTTGTATTTCAAAAAGAGTGATTATAATATTCTTTCACTAAAGAGATAGAATACACATTCCCTCTTGGACTTAGTTGACGTATTGTGTGAAGCACAAGCACGCGTTCGTTCCACCGAAGCCGAACGCGTTTTTCAAGGCCGTTCGACGTGTCGTCGTGTTCCATTTCATTTTCGTATGCGGTGCGAATCTCAAATCTGTCTCCATATTTAAGTTGTGCAGATTCAACGTAGGCGGTATGATGCCTTCCTTGATCGCTAAGATCGTGAAGGCGGCTTCCAGGTTGCCGGCAGCACCTAGCAGATGACCATGTGCTCCTTTCGTGCTCGTTATCGTTACGTTTTTGCTGTGTCCACCCATCAGTGACTCGATCGCCTTCACCTCGATCGCATCACCCAGCGGCGTGGATGTGGCGTGCGCATTTACGTGCGTCACTTCCGAGGTCTCGATGCCGGCGTCCTTCAATGTCCGATCCATTGCCAGCAGCGCACCGGTGCCATCCTCGCTAGGTGCTGTTATGTGTGATGCGTCGCCAGACAGACCGTAGCCCAACACCTCCGCGTAGATAGACGCGTTCCGAGCGAGCGCGTGATTTAGCTCCTCCAGAACCAGTATCGCAGCGCCTTCGCCCATGACGAAACCGTCGCGGTCATGATCGAAGGGCCGTGATGCCTCCCGTGGCATATCGTTCTTCGACGTGCTCAAAGCGCGTAGCCGGCAAAACGCAGCTATAGCCAATGGACTGATACATGCCTCAGCACCGCCACATACCATCACACTTGTTTCACCACCACGAATAAAGCGGAATGCATCACCTGGAAAATGATTCATTATGATGGTTTCTCAGATATGAAAAGAGCGTTAATTAGGATAGCGATCGTATAATTTTTTCCCTAAAGCGGAAACATGAAAATTATCATTGAAGATAATGGAAAAATTTTTTATTTCTCGTGTTTCGACCATAAGAAATAAAATTACGTAATAATTAAAAATTAAGGTATGTGTAAGCTGGCTCTGGGGGGGGGGGGATAAATCAAATAATAAAACAATATTTAAATATAATCCGAAAGAACCAATGCAAATATTAGTGTGCAATACGGATTTATTATAATGACATTTACATATTCAACAAATATAATTCGTAAACTTTTCGACCAGTATTGTTAGTCCTCCTTAGTGCTGTTAGTATAATAAATATAATGAGACGTTAATAAAACATTGCAAATTACATTGATTATGTAAGTGTTATTGTAATAAATCCATATTGCGTACTATATCCGTGTTAGCTCTTTCTGACTTCTTAAATTGTCTTATTATTTTAAAAAATTACATAATCGCTACACCCAGAGTCTGTTGTTTTTGCTCTTTATTTACCAATAGCATGCGCGCCTGTCGCACATGCAGTCGATACTGAATGATTGGGTCCGCGGAAACCGTACTTTATACTGATCTGACCAGCAGCCATGTTCGGCAATATCCTTGGCACGAAGAATGGACTGATTTTGCTGTATCCCTTTTTCAGAGCTTCGTACGTCATGCACACATCTACTAGGTCTATCATGCCGATTCCTACCGAGACTCCAGTGTCACGTTTATCAGCTTCATCGGTTGGTTTCCAGTTTGCATCCGTTAGTGCCTCCTCCGAAGCTATTAACGCATATGCGGTGGCAGGGCACATTGTGCGTAGCTCACTCTTCGTAAAGTAGGAATCAATGTTGAGCTCATGAGAAGAGTTTCCTTTCGGCACCAATGCAGCTAACAAATGCCAATTGTTACATAATTATTGCGTGAAATACAATATTGAGCAACGAGTTATATTAGGTACTAGAAGTTAATAAATCTTGTTTACATATAGAATAATTGTATATAAACAAGTATCAACATGAGTGCAAGTTGGCAATAGTACTGTCAAAAATTGCTCACCTACTTTGCACGGTAGCTTGTCGTAATCTGGTTCGGAAAGTCGCACGATTCCGCATTTAGAGTCGATAAGAGCCTCCCAAGCGTTTCGTGTCCCGACTCCCAAGGGACACACAGTTCCTATCCCGGTGACGACGACACGCCGCTTGGATCTCACGGCGGTCGTCAATGACCGGCTAACGTGCAAAAATGGAATGGACATCGTGATTTTCGAGGGAGACTTCCTGCAGATGCTCTTCAATAATCAGCGCAATATATATATCGTTAATGATTGATTCGTCATGATCGCCAAAATGTAAAATACGTTTATAAGGCACACCGTAAAACCAACTACATCGAGGTTATGTTACTGTGCAAGTTGTGCCCAGCGCTAATAGACCTGTTCTTTTTGGCTGAACTTTTGCACCAGTTCATCATTCTTTCTTTCTTTTCTCTCCAGGAGGAAAGAAGAAGGAGAAAGATAAACTGGTGCAAAAGTTCAGTCAAAAAGAACAGGCTTATTGACTGTGTCAGGTGCCTGTAATGTCGTAAATAAACCGATAGGCGCCTGCTTTATCAATGTTTATCAACAATATTTTGAAAAATGTTTTATTGTTGATTCTTTTAACCATTCCTGTATTTTAAATATAATATTACTATTAAATCCTTTAAATGTCGTGTCTTAAATGTTAGACATGTAAAAAATTATTAATTACGACATTAATGTCATTTAAATGTTTTTTAATATTTTAAATGTAAAAATCTTTTTCCAATCTCACAAAGTCGTATTGATTCGACATCTTAAGACATTACGTAAGATAATTTTTTAACTATATATATTAATCTTATTTTATATTAAAAATTTAAGAGATATATAAGTAATAAAAAAACGATTTTTAAAATTGCTAACGCGCTTTCTCTCCCAAGTATATGCTATTTTGATCTTAGCGTAAAAATAAAATAACTTATGCAAAATGATTACAAGGGCATTGAAAATGTATGATTTCATTAATGAAAGTATAATAAAATGCAGAGAATACGATTAAAAACTTTATTTTGGTTTGCTTTGTAATTGGGAAAAATATATATATATTTATACATATACATATATGTATATATATGTTGTATGTACCTGTAGGAACTTTGGGCTACAGATTATGTCAGGGACAGTCATCGTATAGAGTAACATATTAATTTAAAAAAATGCAAAACATGCGAATATGTTACCAATGGAATAAAAAAACATCTTACTGCTATACTAAATCTATCGTTTTTTTTTTGTTAAATTTACATGTACATATGCATTGGTAACAAATATAAAACGCTGCATGTGTGATACATTAATTCGTCTCAATATACGCAGGCCTGAATTGTGTTCACGCAGTCTGCATTTTTCTGCGTGAAACTCATGTAAATCACGAAGGTTAAGAAAATAACTGGACAGAGCTTACAGTAAATTTTGGAAAAAATTGGATTTTAAAGGAACTGAAGTTATACAAAGAAAGGAATTAAGAGAGAGAACGAGAGAAAAAAGAGAATATAAAAATATTATTAAAAAAGAGAACATTTCATTTTTATGCTTTATCGAATAAAATCAAATTAATAATGCACCATATATTTATAACAATACATCCCAACAAACTCTAAATATTACAGTACTTGTTAGTTGTAATTTTCCACTAAACGATATAACTGTAATATACATAATACGTGTATTATATTAGTTATATTGTTGAATGATACATATTACACACGTAAGTTCCAGGTAAGTGTTAATGTTTGCTGAGATAGCATTTATATATGTATAACAAAATGAAAGGATTTATGTACCTATATATAAATAAGATATTGCTATATGATATATATGTATCAGGGTTGGTAAAAAAAACGTTTTAAACGTGTTTTAAACAGTTTAAAACATGCTTAATTGATGTTTTTAATATATTTTAAATATGTTTTTTTTATAGTACTGTTCAAAGCATATTTGAAGCATTAAAAACATATTCAAGAAGAAACATAATATGTTTTATTCTTAAAAAAAACAGTCTTTACCAACCCTGATATGTATATATACATATATAATTATACATATATGCAAATATATATACTGAATATTTAACATGAAATACTTAATATTCTTGTTTATTGATTAAATGCTCCGTCCAGTAATTTCTTATATACAATGTAAACAAAGAAGAAAACAGAATATAATCCATATCACACTACATGTAAAAAAATGCTCAAGTTATTATGCTCTGACTTGAGCGTCCATGTCAAGGTCAATTATGGAAAATGAATCTTACATATAGGGGCGGATTGAGTAAGCGGAAAAAACCTACCTATGGATATATATTTTGAAATAATTAATCATTTGCGGACAATGTCTGGCAATATAAGTCATAGTAAATCGCAAGTCAATTTTTTATCGAAAATTTGTTATAATAACAAAAGTAAACATTTTTAAAACAAATTTACTCCGTTTATTATGACAAATATTAATTTTACATTCAAATTAAATTTACGATTTCTACAATTTTTTCTGTAAAATAATTTCTAATAAACAGAAAGTATCTCTCGATATCTTTCAGAGGGCTGATAGCCAATCCGCCCCCGATCTTACACATGGCACGCGATTAATCGACGTTCTAAAATCCGACGCTGAATAACTCTCTTAAATTGTATAAAATTATATACAGCATCGCGTTACTTAGTATTGTGCTCCACTCCCACAAAGCGCTACGAAATTACTTATTCTCTTTCCCGCTTATCTTTCGAGCATTCAAAAATTTTCGACTAGTGTATGTAGTAAAGTCTAAAAGAAAAAGAATTATACATAACACACAAGGCTCGTTAACCAATGGCATCGATTATCGCGTCATCGAAATTTTCATCATCGAAAGAAGACAATTTTCATCATCTAAAGCTCGAGCAAAGTGCAAGAAAATTCACGAATTCGTTCTGCAAAGAACAGAACGTGATAGCGTGAAACCTCCTTCAAGATGGGAGATCAGTAAATGCTTGTAATAAATAGGACATCATCCATTCTCTTCGACAAGGATCTTTCCAATATTACATCAATACGATACACACACACGATAATCCCTTTTCAATTCTCTTCGCATCTCATTTGTCCCTCAATATGAATTATATCCTTGAACCTTCTTCCTTGACTAGATTCGTACTCAGTTATGCCGATATCTCTCGCCTGATGCCATTGTATACACCGGACATGTAGGGATCTCGGGAGTTAAACATTGGTCTTCGTTTTGCTATTCTCGGGCTCCGGCGGACAGTGATCGGAGTGTGTTGCCCATGCAGCAAGCTGTCAATATTAAAAAGAAATACAATTCATTATTATTGATGATCATTAACGTAAATCGTAAATATGAAAAAATGATACATCATACGTAACTGTGCACTTGACATGACATGTACCTGACATGAACGACTACAATACCACTGATTTCCACATCCGGCGCAAACAAACTGTGCGGGTCGAATTATACATCCCTGACATTTTGGCGGAGCATTTGGTGAAGGTGGATTGTCCTTCACCATTTGTTTACCATCTCTTCCAATCACTGAGTTTCCTTTCCTATCATCAATTACCGACGTTTCGTCCTCTACATCTTCCTAAAAATTCAATGAAATGATCAAACACGCACAAGAGAACGTGTTATTAATAAATTGCAAAAGAAATTTACCACTTGAATTAAATCGTTGGAGTGAGATTGCGCTGGAGTGTTAACGACGGGGGTTATAGTTATCTCTGTGCGAGCCTGGAAAAAATATCTTACATTACCAAAAAAAAGATAAATTTATGTCTCGCCTAACTACTTACTTGACCAGAGTTTTTCAAGCTTTTATCTTACAAAAACTTATATTATTTATTTTCATAAATTATTTACATTATTTATATGCTCTTATTTCTATTTATTTATATAAATTACATAAAATGAAATTACGCTGCTAGATATTAAAATGGTGTAATAATCGCGTCGTTTAAAAGAAACTGCATTTTATGCTAACGTAAATTACGAAAAAAGAATAAGTAGAAAAAAATAAAAAAACAAAGAACCTTGGAAGAAGACAGGAGATCATTTATAGAAACCATATTAGAGCCTTGGTATGTCTGCAAAAGGTGCTGAGTCGTGGCGCTTGGCTGCGACATAGACGCTGATGTCGCCGCCGCCGCCGCCGCCGCCGCTGCCGCGGCCGCCGGAGAACTCCTTTCTCTTTCAGGCGCAGTGAGTAATCTTGCTAAAGTAGGTGAAAAAGTCGAGGATCTCGGCGTTTGAGCTTTTGTTAGAATTCCGTGGAGCAATGAGCCGGTTGGCTGAGACGTATTCTGGGCAGACGAAAGTGTCACAGGATGAAGCGTCACATCTGGATAATTCTGCGGTACCTTGACAGGTTCACCTAAATATAATATTGAAACATAATTATAGTTTGGTGATCACCAAAACCGAATAATTACAAATTGCCTCTCTTCGGAAACAATATAAATTTAGTCAATTAAAAAATTTCAGAAAAATGATGTTACCTTGCTGACTCAGCTTAGCAAATTGTACTAGCATGTCTTTATAGTTCATGGGATCGTTCGTACTTGGATTGCTCTTGCACGATTCTGTGCTAGACGGTCTTGAATCAGCATTGTGTCCAGTTTCAACCATGGCACCGCCAGCACCGAGATTGATGTTCACGTTCGAATTTCTCAATCGTCGTCCTCTACAATTGGGAATAATGCTCAAGTGTCGAAAAAATGAAGTTGTTTTCATAAAAATACTGATCTTTTAGTGCTGTATAAGTCAGTATAAGCAAATATTGCATATTATTAATGTAGCCTCAATCATTTTGTTAATCAGAATTTTTTTTCCTTATCTAAAATTATATTTGCTATAAAAATATGTTTCAACCGTTTAAACAAAATTGCGAATCAATTCTAGTACAAGAAATTATAGTATGAAATTTGAAAAAAAAAATTCTTTTTGCTCGTATTTTATGCATAGCAAATAGAATCAAGGATGGTATACTATTTATTACATTATAAACAATAAATTTAACTTTTGTCATCTTAATTCATATTTGTTCAATTCTGACCTGGTATATCATCCTTGATTCTATTTGCTGTGCATAAGAAATTATGCTCAAATTATATTTCTCGGATATTATCGAAAATTATATTGTGCATCCATATCGCGCTAATGTGATGTAAATTTTATGTTTCAAACATTTATGAAAATTATTTTATTGAATCGTTATTTATACAAATTTTGATAAGTAAAGTCATATTTTTTCCTCCTCCCATTCTGTCATTTATAATTAATTTACCTCCTTGGTACGGTTTCTGGATGTTTAAGCCTGTGGTCGGCAATAATGGATCTGACATCCACTATTGCACCTTGACGGCCTTCTCCAATCTGTCGACTGTCCGGACTCGACACCTCATTCTGTTTACGACTGCTCTCGCCATTGGTTTTCGGAGGAGTCGCTCGTTGTTGCGAACTAGTTTTCGGGGTTCTCTCTTTCTTCGAACCCGATGAATCCGAAGATCTCTCACCTGGATCCTCCTTAGTTTCGAAAGATCTCTCCTTCGATACGGAATTGCTGCCGTTGTTCTCCCATTCGGCCGAACTCACAGATGATCGTGGCGGTAAAGTTTCCGACAACTGACCGTCATTTTCCATGTAGGCTGTTGTTTGTATCTTCCTTTCGAGCCTCAGATATGCCTCCTCTTTAAGTTTCCTCTTCCTCAAGATCTCATTCCATTCCATTTCTTTGGCATGTGCTAAGTTTTCAAGTGTCTGCAAATAAAAATTAACGAAAATGCTTAAAGAAAGAGTGGTTTCGAAGAAAAAAAAAAGAGATCGTATCTTCAAATACTCACTACAATATCGGCTCGTAATCGATCAGCTTTTGCCACAAGGTCTTCGATACTTTCGTTGTTGTCGCCCACAATATTCGAAATGTATTCTTCTCGTGTGTAGTTGTCGCGAAATTTCTTTTTAGGAGGATTTCCTGAATGAGGCGAAACTTGCAGAGTAGACTTCCGTTTTCTAATCTCAATCGGTTCAGACCCTGCCTTAACATGACGCGGCTGTACGACATCACTCGGAGTCGTCGCACTTTGTCGCGACGTACTCGCAAGCAGCTGTCTGCCCTTAGTATTCGGAGTCTCAGTGTCGCAGCGCGATTCGTCCTTCTTCTTGCGTGGGCGACCCACCGATGCCGTCGGCGCCGCCGCTGTTTCCTCCGGAAGAGCGGCGCCGTTCTGCTGGCTCTGAGGTACTTTCGGCGACGGCGACGATCTGGATGTCTTGTCGTCCTCTGCGGTATCCACCTTTCGCTTACTCTCGGCCGCACCCTCCATCGCGTGCATTTTGTTGTTTAAACTGTAAACATACAACAATGCTTTTATTTAGAATTCTTTATTTAAATCCACTTCAGGATTTTATATCAGGACTTTGTATCAAAATTTAAGGTAGAATTTTAATTATAATTTCAAGTACACCGTATAATACAGAAAATTTTTGTATATATCAACGAAGAATCAAAAATACATACACACATATGTGATGTAAGATATATTAAAATATGCGATATACAAAATTATGAATAGAAATCTATCCCAAAATTTATCACAAATTACAGATTCTCTAAAGCGGATTTAATATGTATTTCGTGCGTTTAGTACTTATAACATATGTGCATTTTGTACTGCAAATGCTCTTCGTATGACGATCGCGCATGAAATTATAAATAGAACTTTGTAACAAATTTTAAACGCCCAAAGTGGACATCAAGAAGATCAGAAAATTGGAAATTTTGAAATGTCAAGATCAAATCGATTGTATCAGATGACTATTTTGACAAAAAAAAATAACTTGGATTTCGCACAGAGTTTATTGTAAATATAGCAATAGAATGAAACGTGACCATAGAAATAATATTAGAATAACAGTAGAAGTAATATTAGATACATTATGAGGTTTTTTTTTAAATAAAATGTCTCTGGTCGGGACAATCAAGTATGCAATATATAATCGTTTAGGAAACTGTTTTCTCTAATTTTTTTAACAAAGTTTATTGAGGACGCAATATATAATGATATAGAATAGATTAAACGATATTTCTAAATATTTCCTCGCAAATACAAGAAAATACAATATTTCGCTTGCGGTGTTAACACATTGTCTAGTCAGCTATTTTTTTATATGCCTTATCGTACACGACACAGTAAAATTTTCATGAACATAAACGTATAATAATAAAATAGTATATATATGATTAAATAGGACTTTTCTCTTTTCTTTATTCTCATAGGTATTGAATAGCAGACTTTTTACTTTATATTTAGCGATTTACGTCATTCGAAACATATTCAATTAATTTTTTAATAAGTATTTAAAAGTTTTTAATAACACAATGGTTCTCAATAACCATCAGAGCGTCACTGAAAAGTCAGGTACTGATAACCACCATGGCAGTTAACAGACCAACAGTGCAGGAACGAGTATTGTAAAAATATCGCGCATTATTTTGGTTATCAATAAATCTGAGTGCATTGAGTAATAATCGATTGTGATTGTTAGATATTTTTCAATCAAATCTACTCGTGTTTTTTCCGAACAACTCGATTACTTAATGTTTTCCCTTCTCTCTTTCTTTCTCGATGCGCGGCATATATTAGTTCATTATTAAAGGATTGTTCCTGGACTTTCGAAACCAAAGTGTTCTCCTTGTTTCCTTCTTATTCGAAAGAAATTGCGCATCACACACGAATATACGAGCGAACTTCCAAGATCCTCTAGCTAAGAAGGACAAATCCTGCAAAACAACCGTCCGCGAGAAACGATGACATTGATAAACCGATAAACATATACTGCAATAGAAGCGTCAGTCGGTCGACCTTGCCTAGAAAATAATTGTTCATCGGGGGCCTGAAGGACGACGGTGCGATGTGGTGGTAAAACGCCACGCGCGCGCCATCGTTCCCTCGTAATATCGACGCTTAACACGGTACGATATACATGTCCTCATACGTATATATCACGGCGTAAATAAAATCTTCGTATCACGACCTGATTAGCCAGCCGCTATAATTAGACGTCGCGCAGCTTAATCAGCACACCGTCAGCGTCCCGATTAATTAACGCGCGTAAGCGTCTTCACCAACTTTGCCATGGATAAGGGATGGGGGTAGGAGTAATCATCAGAAAGTGGTCCCTCTACTTCGACGCAATCGACAATTCTACGGAAGTTCAGCGAAAGGGCACCGAACGATCGGGAAACTTGGTGGGAAATAAATCTGGAGTGTCACGCTCGCTTGTTTATTTATAATCAGAAAAATTTATATTAAAAAATTTATAATAATAAAGAGATTAACAGGACTCTTAAATATTAGAAAATTTAAATTAATATTACGAAGGACATATAAGAGTCAAATAAATGTTTAAAAAGTATAGATGTCACATTAATAAAAGAAAATTTAATTGAAAGTTTAGAAAAATATAAGTATAAACATTACATGTTTCGGCTTTTTATTAGAACTTCAGATACAACTTGTAAATTGCCGAAGAAAAAATGGATATGCTTAAGAAATGGTTAACTGTTAAGGATCATCTGAAGATGGTTTAATAAAAAGCCGAAACATGTAATGTTTATACTTACGTTTTTCTAAACTTTCAATTAAATTTTATTTTATTAATGTAACATCTATACTTTTTAAACATTTATTTGACTCTTATATGTCCTTCATAATATTAATTTAAATTTTAAAAATTTATGGAAAATTCTTAAAAATATCCCCTTTTTCTCTCGTTTGGGCCAATGACCGCGAGATTTCCAATAAGATTCATATATTATAATTAATTAATTAAATTATCTTACTTCAACTTAATTTAATCATTGATAAAATTAAACAAAATTGATTTGTGCAGTAAAATTTAATTGAATTTAACGTTTACCTACAAGTACGTGTACACAACGTATGAAATATTCAATAAACAATGACAATAAATAGATAATGAGAAATAAAATATATTTTTTCTGTTTGGTAGGATTGATGGCGTTGAAAGAAAATCTGTTTCTCTCAACGCGATCATTTTCAAAATATTTTTCACAAATATCATGCTTTCTTAAAGTAAATATGACCATGATCCATTTGTAACATTGTTCCGGTTCAGTAGAAAGAATAAATTACAGATAGCAAGTCACACAACATGTTGCATCAACGATCCTTTCAACATGATCGAATTTTAATTACAAATAGATTTTAATTACATAAAACCGTGTCTTACACATATAAAAAATTATCCTTATTTCTTAATTTACCTTTACTAATTCATATGGTATTTATCGAAGCAATATAAAATATTAACGATATTTCTTTGTCTTTTTTGAAATTACTCAATAATTAAATTTAATTTGCAAGTCTCTCATATATGCGTACAAATACATAGAGTGATATTTATAGACCAATTTTATTTAAAAAATCGTTCTAAATATAGTCTTAAAGTTTTATTCTTGTGACACGACTAAATCGTACTGAAGACGATCTTAAATGTAAGGTTGCACTACGAATCTCCTTTTAATTATTTATATGAGATTAGATCTTGGCTGATGGGTGCGTTTCGTTTTATGCATGATGTGGGCGATGTATCTCATCCTTGTTATTCCGAATATTAATACTAGAACCCTGAGGCCATTTTAGTTCTGCCAATCATTTTAATTTTTTTCTTTTTTCTTTTAAAAATATACAGTATAGAATATAGAAAATATGTGAATGTAATACAAACAATTCTAATGATATAAATAATATAAAAATCAATCTTCATTAAGCGAAAACAAGGAAATTATCAAATTGATACCTTCGACAATTCTAGCGAAATATACTGTCGGTGATTTTGTAATAGCGTTAAACAAGAATAAAATTATTATGCACATCTTGCGTAAAACGGAACGTACACATGTTGCCGCAATATTTGACAACACGCGTCTAACGGATCAGTTTGTATAGTTCAGAATGCATGTACAGAGTGCATTCTTGCTTCCATCCCTCTCTTCTCTCGCAATCATTTTCTCGAAGGAAATTGTCGATTCGTCTTCCGCGTCGTGGAACAGGTGTTTCGTGGATACAAATTTACAAAGAGCTCGTTACAGATTTGTTAAATAAATAGAATAATAGTTATCTCACATTGTGTGAGACTGCGATATTATCAGGCGCGTTTAACATTCCTGATATAGATCGGCCAAATACTCAGCATGATGACTCGTCATGCCACGTTGACGTTATCGCAAATATATATCCTCGATGTTGAATACGACGTCGGCGAGACGGCGATGTTACACGCCAATGTTCGCATTGTCGACGTCATAAGTAAAAAATCACGATGAATTAAAGAATTAGTTTATTAATATGATATTTAAACTCGATTTTAATATCGAATAAAGATGTATAAATAATATATTAAATAAATAGTTTTTCACTACTAACAAATCCGGAGTGATAAGGATATACGTAACCTTCCAAGTAGTCTCCTTTCGAAGCAACGATCTTCTTTCAGCGATCCACCCATTTTCGAAAGCAGACCTGGAAGTCACTTTTTGTGATAACCAACAGTTTCCTCGTCGTATTTAGTTTCATGTCTTCAACATCGTTAAATCGTTTCTTTCAACCGATTTTTCAACTTAGGAAATATCCAGAAGTCACATGGGGCTGTATCTGGACTGTACGGGGGTTTACGAAGTTGGACAATGCCATGTTTAATAAAAAAAATCTTGAATCAGATCAGATGAATAAGATGCGTTATCATGATGCAGCAACCAGTTTCCACTTTTCCACAAATGCGATCGTTTCCTCTTCACTGCGTCACGCAATCGTTTAAAAATGTAATTCAAATAATACTCTGTATTTATTGTGCGACCTTGTGAAGCATATTCGTGGTATACAGTACCTTGATGATCAAAGAAAACAGTGAGCATTGCCTTCACGTTGCTCTGACTCTGGTGCGCTTTCTTGGGTTGAGACTCTTCTCTTGTCACCGATTGTGCTTTTGTTTCAGGGACGTAGCCATGAACCCATATTTCATCGCCAGTAGCCAGCATAATAACCCTTTCGAGCAACTCAGGATCTTGTCTGATGGATTTCAGAATGTCATTGGCAACTTCAACTCGAAAATCTTTTTTATTTTGATTGAGCACTCGTGAAATGAATTTTGCACACACGCGACTCATTTTCAGATCTTTAGTCAAAATTCGAGAAATACTCTCACTTGAGATTCCAAGGTCGTCTTTTAATTGTGCATTACTCATAAAGTCATCACCATTACGAATCATGTCGATTGTCTAGGAAGATGCGTAGCCAAGTTTTTGGCAAAAGTTAATGCAAATT